TTGTGTTCCCCGTCATGCTAAGATCATCGTACCTCTCCTGAGCGGCCAATGATGGAGGGTCTCAATGAGCGGCATGTCCGTAGAAATGGTACTTGGAAGCAGATGGGGAGGAGGGCCGCCAGAGGTGCTTGTATACGTCAATAAGCAAAGAAGGGTGCGCGTCCGTTGAGTCCTGTCGCCCTCCGAGTGCAATGTAGTAGGGAGAAAGGTAGACTCTCCATCTCTGTGCGCGACGCAGAGAGCGAGATCAATGAGCAGTGGCACTTCCTGTTTTCTGACAAGAGGTTTCAGATAAGCGGCGGGCAGGACGTCGCGAGTCCCGGGGGCGGCGGCTTCCAGGACGTCGACCTCGGCGACGCCTCGCGCGCTGTCCGGGCGCAGACACGGCCAGCACGGGGGCGGCGGGCTCGGCGAGTTCTTCCAGAGCGGCATCAACGCGCTCACGGGCCACGGCGGCGACGAGGACGGCTTCCTCGAGGATGACGACATGGACTTTGATGAGGACGCCTTCCGTCAGGCGCAGGCCGACGATGCCAAGGCGCGGCTCGAGCGCATCAAGGATATCAAGCGCGGGCTCAAGAACTGGGAAGGCTGGAGGCTGGACCTGGTGGAGATCCGCCGGGGCGGGGAGGAGGGCCACGGGGAAGTGTTCGAGGTGTAGGCTGCCCAGTGTCTTGCTTGCATTTCATGACCCCTAGTCCGTGGACAGGACCTTGGCTATGTACTGTGTATGATGACACGCTTGATCGAATGCTCCCTTGTCTCTGTCGCGCCATTGAAGATGTGTATCGCTTCGGCCTGGAAACAGTGCATAGGATGCGACATGTTGCACAGCTCGTCGTCACTTCATCGACTGCCATGTCCGCATGTACGTGTGTCATTGCGGCCCCCTCCGTCACAGGGGAGGCGCGTCTTGTTCGCTACTCAGGGGAGATGGTCTAATCGTTACAGCAAGTAAAAAGAAACACGTTATCCGACACGGGACAGGCTTCGCCGACGCGGGGGGCCTCCATCCAAAAACAAAGTGCTGAACCAACCCAGCCGCCAGCCGGCCAAACCCATACATACAAGATTGGGGTGTCTGCAGGAGAGAAGGGGGGGGATATCATTGCGAAGCCAGATGCCGTCCTGTGCCAGTTTGCCTGTCCACCAAACGCCTGGCCCTAACACAGCCGGAGAGAAGAGACAGAGAGGGAGGAGGGGGTGGGGGAGGAAAAGAGAGAAAAACAAAGCATTAAGTGTAGTGTGGTGGCTCCTGCCGAACTATCCCTCGCCAGAAAAGGGAGGGAAAACTGTAAACGCCATGTCCATGCATCGTTTCGTGAGGGAAGAAGAGATTTGCCTTTTCCCCTGAAAGTCTAATAATTGCCGCTGAGAGAATCGCGGCGGTGCTGGTGAGGGGCGTTTTCATAGAATCGTGGGGGAGAGTCGAGAGGTGGATATACAGAGTCGCCAGGCGGGATGTTCTACATCATGGAAGCCGTCGGGGCGTTCAGAACAGACGTGTCGACGCCAAGGCCAGAGACATCAAGATTGCCACCGCGCAGCGTCTCTTGCAACTCGGCGATCTGCGCCATCATGGCAAGGCTGTGCTGCGACTGCCGGTCAATCTGGTCGCGCAGCTCCTCGTTCTCCATGCGTACGCGCTTAATCTCTTCGCGCAGATCGTCATAGGGGTCGGACGCCGAGTTCTTCCGCGAGCGCTTGCGCTTCTGTCCGGCCTTCTCGCTGTCGCCATCGCTAGTGGCAATGTCGTCGCCGATGGGTGTCGAGCCGTCCTGCGTGTGTACTCGGCGGAGGTGCTCATTGAGGTTCTCTTGCCGCGAGAAGCCCTTGCCTGTGTGCCTCTTGCAGTTGGGGTGTGGGCAGTTGACGGTGTTCTTGGGACCGCCGTGCTTCCCGTGGACCTCGCGCTCGTGCCTCAAAAGACCTCCGGAGTAGGTGAATCCGGGCAGCTTCTCGCAACCCTCAGCGGCGCATCGGTAAGGACGTTCGTGTTTGTCCATGTGCTTGCTAGAGAAGGGAGTAAAACGTCAGCATACCTCTTCCCCAAGCACACAAAGAATCGGCGCGTTCGGCCACTGCTTACCTCCATTCGCACTTGCGACCGAAGACCTGTGTGTCTTCGGTGCATCCAGGGAACGTGCAGTAGAACTTTCCGTCGGCCTGCTTGTGAACCTCGCGATCAGGCTTCGGTATACATTTGCTGCGAAGAGATGATGCGCCGTGGTCCAAATCGTCCTTGCCGCCGTTGGAGGGTACAGTTTCGGGCATTTGAGAGGCTAGGGTCGCCATGGTCGGCGCGGGAGGCAGCGTGAGCTCGGCAGCATCGGTGACCAAAACTCCATCGCCGCCCAGCGCATCAGATATGATGGAGCGGTCATCGCCGAGCATCGAGGTTGATGGATTGTAGGCGTCTAGGCCAGAGACATCGGGCGAAGCATATTGAAGGCGGGTATCAACGTCATGGTCCTGGTCGGGATCTCCAATCGGGGGGTAGGAGGGGTCGTGCATGAAGCTACGAGGCTCGTAGACAACACTCATCATGACGGGCTACCCGGTGAGGTTTCTGTCTGCGTGATGACGATGCCGTGCAAGGCAGGGGGGTTTGGTTGCGCCTGTCGCGTCGGATGAAGCTGGAGATGATCCAGCTACGATGAAGGCCAGACCAGTCTGGAAGAGTGGCTGAAGCCAGGAAGCGAAGGGACGGTGATGAGGTCAAGGTCGTGGTTGGCAGGGCTCGTGGAATAATGTTCTGGAGCTCCAACAATTGATGGAGATCGGTCTGGGGTCTGGAGTAAGGCTTGCTGACTGGCAGGTGCAGGGTCGAGGCCAGGTTTGCCTGAAAAATCTGGTGTTGACTGGCCTGCGCTGGGACTGAGCCACAGTGGGTAAGATTTCTAATCACGGAGAGAGATGAGGCCACGTGACTTCGCGCCACTGACCCGAATGCCGAAAGCCAAAGTGTGTTTGCAGAGGTGGATCGAGTGACGCTGTTTTGTGGAACAAACTCTCTTTCTCGTATGGCGAAGCGGGAGCTCTTATCAAGAACTCAAGAATCAGGCATTCAGCGCGAGCCTCGCACCTACTACACCGTTGGACCAGAGCGTGTCACGACTCGGCGTTGGAGGGTTGACCGTGACTCACGTAGCCGAGCTTGCCCATGAGGCCGCCTTGGCTGGCCGTCTCTGCCTGATCCTCCGCCTTGCTGAGAATCAACATACGGCGCGTGACCTCTTTGCAACGAGGACTCGAGGACCTGAGCACATGGCAATGTGGCAGCCTATGGTATTGTTAGCATCTTTTCCCAGCGAAATTTTCCGAACCGCCTTGCCTGCCTGCAAGGATCTGGAGGCCGCCTTGCCTGTTCTGCCTATATTCCTCTGTGAAGATGCTCGCCGTTGGTATAGTTTGCCGGTCGATGCTGGAGGGGTGTGGTGAACCCGATGCACGTTGCGATGCATGAACGGGCACGCCATGGCTGCCACGAAGACAACTTGTCGAGGCCGAAGATCCAGGCCGATGGTGATGCCCATGGTCATCAATGCGCATGGCTGAGGCGGACAAGCAATGCCAGCAAGAAAAAGATTGGTTGATGTTGTTTCTTGGTCGAAGGGAGCTTCAATACGTGCCAGCTGTCGCCTTGCCCAGAAAACCAGGCCCAGAAAACCAAATTTATGACCCGCCTGAGGCATGACTCTGGGTGCCTAAGACACCATCACCATGGCCACGGGGGGACCCTGGTTGCGTGAGCATCTCAAACAGCAAAGTGCAGAAAAGGTATTACTCAAAGGAGGCCAGAAAAAAACAGGTACGTGGCAGCTTCTCAGGAAGCCGATAGGGTTGAAATGCATCCACTGCCGATGAGTCCTCCTGAAGCAGGTCAGACACGCCACTCAACACGCAGATGAAATGACCACCCATCTCTGAAGCCCATCTGTTGCAACACCATTTTGCAACAAGAAAAAGCGTTATGAAGGAGGTCGTTGTTGCCAATGGCCCCGGTGTACCATGGCACGAGGCGCCGTGAGTCGACCCGAGGTTTAGGTGATCTCTCGGGAGGTCGGCCAGCCCCCACTCTTGTCTCGGGCCTTGGGACAGAGACAGAGAAACGAATGTGGGCCCGAACAGAGCTCCGGCTTGATAGCGAAGAAACCGGCCCAAAAGTTTTTATTCCCGGGCCAGAGGAGGGATTAAAGCTCGCTCTTGGACGTCTTGGCAGGGTAGCCTCGGGGTCTGGGGTCTGGCCCGGTGGCCATGACTGGATAGCGTGTGTTGAGACGTGGGACTTGGACAGGCGGCTGCCGAGCGCGAGGGGCCATTGGCAGAATCTGTTCAAGATGGAGCCAGCGCGCAGTCGGCGAGGGGCAGCCTTGGCAGCCACTCCTGGTGAGGCAAGGTGGGATGGAGATGTGAAGGAGGAAGAAGGCGTTGGGGTGTTTGGGGTGCTTAAGCCGAGCTGTGCTCCATGTTCTGGGCCACTCACTGCGCTGTAGCTGTTGCGACTGCTGTGGCTGCTAAAGTTTAAATGTTCTCAGGCTCCGCTCCACGACGACTTCATCCATTTTTTTTTCTTCCATTTTTTTTCTTCCTTCAAAGTATCGTCACTCTCATCGATCTATCTGACTTCAGTCAGACCTCGCCGCCCTCCCCACCTCTCTCTTCCAATCACTTCACATTCATTCCGCTCACGGGTCTTGTGCCTGCTGAAGCGAGCCCTGTTCTGCCACTTCACACAGCACCGTCAACAGGATCTACCTGCTTGCCTGCACTATCAATTTGGAGAGGCCAGAAAGGACGACAGCACGCACCTCCATTGCTTTTCAGTCCAAGTATGGCTCACATACCAAACCCGTCGAGCGGGGTCGACAAACATGTAGACGATGACTGTTCTAACACTCCTGATCTGGGGGATCAGGAGCAGTCGGCAGGCTCGCAGCGTGGACCTGACGAGGAAGACTACGACCTTGAGACGGTCGAGCGCGTATACCGAAAGCTCGACTTGCGCATCATCCCAGGTACGTGCAATCCGTCTGCAGGCCCTGATGCCATCGCAACCGTCATCTGACAGGAATCATAGCCTTTTGGTGTCTCTACTTCCTGTGCTCTGGCCTTCGCTCGACCATTGGTATGGCACAGACAATGAACCGAGAGGACGGACACGATCTCATGACCGTCTTGAACCTCACGCCAAAGGACACCTCCACCGCCTTGGCTCTGTTTTATGTCGCCTACGTCATCTTTGACTTTCCCTCCAACCTCGTCATGAGCAGGCTCAGCCCTCGTGTTTGGATGGCCCGTATCGTCATTGCTACCGGCATCATTGGCGCCTGCTTCGCTGCTGTTCAGGCTGCATGGAGTCTCAAGTCAGTTCACACACCGACGCAGCCCTTTTACTCGATCCTGGAAACTAACATTTGTTCCAAGACTGCTTCGCTTCTTGCTCGGTTTCGTCATTGCAGGCATGTGGCCCGGCATGTCCTACTACCTGACTTTGTTCTACCCCCCTTCGCGCACCGGCAAGAGGATTGGCATGTACTTCACCGCCGCTCAGCTTTCGGCTGCCGTGGTCGGCCTCGTATCAGCCGGCTTCCAGCTCATGGATGGTGTAGGAGGCCTCGTCGGCTTTCGATGGATGTTTCTTCTATATGGCCTCATTGCCATTGTTCTTGGCATCTCGCTCTTGTGGTGGCTGCCCGACCGCCCCCTGCCCCCTGGCCAGACACGCACCCGGAACAGCTGGTTCAAGTGGCTGCCAGCCAGTCCTGAGGCGTTGAAGGGGCACGATGCCGTCGTTCACTACCACGACCTTCGCCGCGTGTACAACCCGCGCCCATGGACCTACCACGATCTCCTCCAGGTCCTCATCGACTGGCGCCTCTGGCCTCTTGTCTTCATGTACTTTGGCGTTGTTGGTGTCGGCATTGGCACCCAGCTGTACGGCTCTGTCATCATTGCCTCCATCGTCCCGGATGCCTCCAGTGTCGAGGTCAGCCTGCTGTTCGCTCCCATCTGGATTGTAATTTCATTCGCCCACCTCTGTGCTCGTCGTCGGCCCATGACTAACATGTCTATAGATGGATTTGATCGCAATTGTTATCATTATGCCCCTCTCGGATCGATTCCACCGCTACCGACCTTTCATCTTCTCCGCCGCCGTCTGCCTGCAGATTGCTGGCCTTTTGGTCGTCACGTTCGCCCTGGACAATGGCTGGGCTCGCTACGGCGGACTCCTCATGGTTGGCTTCGGCCTGGGCCCGACTGTCCCCAACTGCATGACATGGGCCAACGAGATTTTCCAGCACCGCCACGGCGAGGTCGGCGTGGCCGCTGCTGCTGCTCTCGTGTCCGGCCTCGGCAACCTCGGCAGTATCGTCACTACTTATGCCTTGTACACCGGATGGCCTGAAGACGCTGCACCTGGTCGCTACAGGTACCGCAAGAGCAACTTTGCCATGATTGGCATTCTCTGCCTCAGCATCGCCAGCAGCTTCCTCATGATGATCCTCCTGCGAGTCTGTGGAAACGAGCGCACCAACAAGATCTCCAGCGACAGCGCTAGCGAGTTTGAGGATGGTGCTGCCAGGCGCGAACGCCAACAGAGGGGCCTTGGCAAGATTCTTCCCTTTGGAAGGTCTCGCCAAGCCTAGCAGCATCATTACTTCACGGCGGTAGACCTTCGTCTGTAAGTTGGACAACGACGACAGACTTGCAGGCGAAGAGGACCTACCGGACCACAGCCGACGATACGACCGTCGGCCTTGATTTTTCTACTTCACATTCTGGGAAACCATTTTTTTCGCTTCGACTTCTCTGCATTTGCACTTATAATATCGGCACTACACTCTCCTCACCGGTTGCGGTATGCCTCTCATTCGAAACGAGGTACGAAATGACTTCTTGGACAGCAACAGTGCTTCTACGCCATTGCTGGGAGTAGGCGTACTTGACTGGAGACGGCGGCCGGCGAAAATGCTTCCACGCTATCGCTTTTCGGGTCCGTCTCGGGAGAACAAAAAAAGGGAAGTAGAAGCCGCCTCAATGAGGCTGTAGGCGGCTTTGTGTTTTGAACGTTTTGTTTGTCGCCATGATACCCCATCTGTGTTTGGATACGTTGTCTGTTCGAGGATTATCGGCGGCGAAAGTGCTTCTACGCCATCGCTGGGACGGCGTATTGGACCGAGTACAGTGCCGGCGACAATGCTCTGCGCTATCGCTTAGGTCTGTCTCGTGGGCATTGCTTTCTTGCGGCTCTCGTGTTACGAGAGCTCTGTTTCCTCTCTCTCTCTCTCTCTCTTTCTCTCCATCAACTTCCCGAACCGGCATCTTGCCTCCGGGGGTTCACTTGGGGGATGCAAATATTTCAGTCGAGAATATATTTGACCTTCTCCAACGGAAGACGATTGTCGTGACGAAGTGTTTCTCGCGTGAAAAAGGTCTCCAACCAGCTGGAACTGTCTTATCTGCGAAGGAGGAAGAACAGCTGGTACATGTAGTCTCTCTTGAGCATGGACGCTGTCCAAGCACGCGGGCCCTGTTGGGCAGTGTCGTGCCCCGGGACCGACGGTGGATCCGACGGATTCTGGCATGATGCATCATGCATCATGCTATTCAGCCTTGTGACAGGCCTTGAGGTCTTGTCAGCAGGGGTCTGCCAAGAGAGTCCTAGCTTCATATGCGGTGCGCCCTGGGATGCGATCCATTTTCTACTTGGTGCTGCTTTCTACTTGGTGCTGCGCCGAGAAATATGGCTTCTTGCTGGTACATTGGTCGCCTTGGGTGGTTCCACGCAGCATCAGATGCAGGCAGCCACATGGGAAACGTCCAGGCACCCACTGGCTCACCCACAAGCACATGGCCCATAACAACGGATAGGCTTGTCGATTGCCTATAAGACGCAGCGCATCCAGGAGTCTTGCACTCGTCGTACAGAGCACCCAGCTAGCTACACGCCTGCACGACCAGTATCCGCGCCGCACTCACCTCCAATGTCTACATCAACAACACCCCCCCTCCCCCACGATCCCAAGCCCCACATCCCCTACCTCACATCCTACGACTCCCTCCCCGTCTCTCTCCCCGCCGACTTGCTCACCTCGGCGCCGCCCAAGCCCGTCACAGCGTCCCCCATAGACTGGCGCTCGACGCCGCTCCCCGAATGGCAGGGCCGCCACGCCACGGTCCTCGACAACGTCCTCACGCCCCAGGAGTGCGCGCTCCTCCTGGCCCTCGCCGAGCGCAGCGCCACGGACCAGGCCCGCCCCTGGCAGCCGGCCATGGTCAACATGGGCGCCGGCCGCGAGGTCCTGGAACCGGCGTACCGGAACAGCGACCGCATCGTCTGGGACGAGGACGAGGTCGTGCGCCGGCTGTGGGCGAGGCTCAGGCTCGCGCGGCACGCCGACGGCGCGCCCTTCTTCGCCGACGACGGGCCCTTGGCGTGGGCGGCGGGGGATGCCGTCGACGGCGGGTGGCGGTTCTGGGGGCTCAATCGCAGGATGAGGTTTCTGAGGTACGGACCTGGGCAGTTTTTCCGACGTCAGTCTTACCTCTTCTTCTTCTTCTTCTTCTTCTTCTTCTTCTTCTTCTTCTCCTGTGGGCAAGCGAAACGCAAGAGGCGCACTGACTCGACGACAGCACACTGCGATGGGACGTACGAGGAGGCCTCGGAGGGACGGCATCGGAGGACGTATTACACGGTGCACTTCTACCTCAACGACTCGGTGCAGGCTGTTGGCGATGACGCCGGAGCGGATCTCAGGGGCGGCGCGACATGTTTTCTTTCGTACGACGAGAAGAGGAGGCTCAACGTCGATCCCAAGGCGGGGCGGGCGCTCATTTTCCAGCACCCGCGCATGTACCATGCGGGCGACGATGTTTTGGCGGGCACAAAGTACACGATGCGGACAGAGATGATGTATGAGCTCGTAGACGGTGTCTCCAAGGACAGACATGATGCGGAGCTGGCTTGAGATCTAGTCATGCAAGTATGTACAGATAGGGACTTGGTGGGCTCGGAAGCAGTGAAAAAAAAAAAAAAAACTGCATCGGCAAGACCATGTAAGATGCTGGTAGCCATGGTCCATCACAAAGTCATCTGGCGTGTCCTTACCCACGTCAAACACATCAACAAGAGGAGACTGAAATCAGTTCAAAGCCGCGCTTGCCCCGAACGAGCTCCAGCTCCATCAACCTTGTTCGAGCCCACCCTCTTCACAAAGTCGAGCACGCGCGCGTAGTAATCACTCGTCTTGGAGTGGGCGGCAAACATGTAGAAGCAGTGCGGCATACCCTGGTAAGTCTGGAGCTCCGTGGGGACGCCCTCGGCCTGGAGGCGCTCGGCGTAGGCGATGCCTTCGTCGCGCAGAGGATCCAGACCGGCCACCTGAACAACTGGGTTTTTTCCGTCTACATCAGTGACTGGTATCCAATCAAAAGAGGAACTCTATACTCACGTGCTGGAGGCAGCCCCTTGGGCGTCTTGGCCAGCAAGGGCGAGTGATCTTGGTGCGGCTGGGGATCAGGCAGGTAGAGGTCGAGGAAGAACTCCATACGGCGCGCGCAGACGACGGATGCATCATGGTTTTGCTGATAGCTTCCGTACTCGTACTTATCCGCCGGGAAGAACTTGGGGTGGCAGGTGACGGGGAAGTTGAGGATTTGTCCCCGGACACCGGTCATGCCAGCATCGCGGGCCTTTTGCGCAATGACGGCGGCGATACCGCCCCCTGCAGAGCCGCCGATGAAAATGATGTTCTCGGGGTCGGCGCCGAGAGAGACGGCGTTCTTCTTGGCCCATCTTGCAGCATCCCAGCTGTCCTCGATGGCATAGGGGAACTTGAACTCTGGCGCCCTGGTCTTTTGTCAGAGACAGACTCGTCATCTCGATCGGCCAGAGTGTTCGCCGCAGACAAGGTTACTCACATCCGGTAATCCACACTGACGACAACCACGTTTCCCAGTCCCGCCATGAGCAAGCTCTCGGGCTCCTCGGTGGAGTGTCCCCCAACCGCCCATCCGCCTCCGTGGAACCGAACCGCCAGGGTCGCGCGGTCAGTCGTTGGTCTTTTGCTTTGGTAAATCTTGACCCCGATCTGTGTGCCATCCCGCACGGGGATCGTGCGCAGCTCGGTCACGACATCGACGCCCTCCACGGGGCAACCTTGGGGTGCCGGGGGTGGAGCCATCCATGCGGCCTTGAAAGCGTCCATGTCCAGGCCGGGCTCCCACATGGGCGCGACTGCGGCGTCTGTTGCATCCTTCACCTTGGCAAATTCAGGGTCAACCGTGGAGAGATGTCCGTTCTTAGGGAGCGGTTTGAAGTTTGGATCGAGGGTCACATATTCTGCCTTGGACTTGAGTTGAACCATGATGGGCGGACGGGGAAAGGTGTGGACGTGATGGGCTCCAAGCTCCTTGACGCGCAGAGATGTACTGTTGAACGATATGTGTGTCCTGTTGTCGAGATGGCACCACAGAAGAAATCCACACGGAATCGACAGCATGATGCATCGAGGGACAAAGGAGCACACGCGGCACTCTTGTATCGCGGGGCATGAGCAAGTCTTCCAACATTCAAGTCAGGTCCGAGAGGACAAGTCCCCTAGCACTAGTCATGAGCAAGGAGCTGTTAGCTCTTGTGGGGGCATGGCGTCTGGGCACGATGGCAAACGAGAGGTTCCTGCAGTGTCCGGAAAACGCTTGCCAGTACTTGTTGTCTCGGTGAAGATGTACCATCAGGTGGGCGCATCGACAGTGACTGGGCACCACTGGACGCAACGATCAAAGATGCAATTCAAATCAACTGGAGATGGCCTCTCGCCATGTCAGTAATGGCACCGCGAGTGAAAAATTCGCATTGATAAAGCAACGAGTTTGTGACATTTTCACGAAACTCAAGTGACGGCGTATGTTCGCCATTGTCGGTTATCCTTCTCCGTGAAGGCGAAGCCAGACGCGAGAGGGGCATGCGGTGCGGGGTTTGGTGTGCCAGAGCTCCCCGAGCTGGCTGCCAAGACCCTACCCTCGTCGCGATCGATGCCCTTTGGTGAGAGGAATCTCGAGAATGCCGGCATGGACATGGTTCATGGTGTCCTCGAATGTTCGATTTCGAGTCACGATTATCATCTCGCGCTCTTCGGATCGCCCAACCTTGTGCCTCATCATCACCCACGCCCTCACGCCCTCACGCCCTCACGCCCTCACGCCCTCACGCCCTCACGCCCTCACGCCCCCCAAGTGACGGCCATGGCCTTGAACACCTTGCAGTCCACCTTGTGCCCACCCTCCCCCCAGTCCTTCTTCTGACACACCTATACATCATCAGCCATTCCCCTCCCATTCTCCTCATCACCAGGCCGAGGCCGAGGGGGGCCAGATCTCCAAAGCTCACCTTGCTGCAATACCTCGCGCGCCCACAGCCCGTGCATCGCATGAGCGCATCCCCCTCCGTCTCCTCCTTCTCGCACCCCGCGCAGACGGCCGCCTCGCCCCCGCGCGCCGCCTCGCCGAGCTGCCGCCCGAGGTCCAGCACCCTCTCGAGCCCCGCCGGCAGGTAGTGCACGCCCGTGCCGCGGCCCTCGCCGACGCGCACGAAGCCGCGCTTGCCCTCGGCCGGGCTCGTGCGCGTGGCGCCCGGCACCACGACGGTCCAGCCGCTCTTGACGGGGCGGAGGTCGATGCCGCGGTCCTCAAACGTGATGGCAAAGTCGGCCCCCGCGCGGTCTGTCGCGATCAGCGTCGGCTTGGTGATGGTCATGTTCTGCTTGACCTCGGCCAGGAGAAAGTGCGTCGTCGTGGCGGGCACGGGGGTGTACGTAGGCGGCGCCGAGGCGTCGGGCGCGTCGCCCGGGGCGTAGGGTGGCGGGTCGTTGGACGTCTTGGAGGGCGGAGGGGGGATGTTGGATCCGAGAGGGAGATTGGCGAACGCAGGGAAGACGGCCGGGGAGGTGAAATCTGGAAGCGGCATCGTGTGTGTATGTGAGAGAGAGAGAGAGAGAGAGAGAGAATATGTGTGGTGAGATGTGAGATGTGAGGTGTGCGGCTGGAGGACGTGGGTTCGCCGATGAGATGACTCAAGCAGCTCACGGCTGCTTTATAAACCTGTAGAAAGCACCTGTAAGCGGACGTTCAGATGTCGCGATCTTGCCGTTGGTAATAATCCCCCGTCGAGTCCTGTGGCCGGCGGATGAAGACGGCAAGTCCTATGGCAGTTCTGGACGGAACAGGCAGCATCTTTCGTCAAGACGTTGCCCCAAAGTGAAACGACTGGGCGCTCGGGACGCGACAAAAGCCCCACAACGGAACTCTCGCAAGTTGCCGCAATCATCAAGATGCTCTAAGAATGCCATTGCTTCTGTCACCTTCCCCACTTCACCATTCGGACAGCAGCACAAGCTATTAACAATATATTCATACGAAAGTGGGACTCGAACCTTCCGAGTCCTTTCTTGCTTGTTGGGGGACACCGCCCCATGCGAGTACCCTGACAGCCTCAGATCAACGCCATTGACATAAGAGGGCCAAGTTTCAACTTCCATGTATTCCAACGCCGATACGCCCCGCCCTATTCCGCATGAGAAGGAACATAGAAAGAAAACACCGCGTTCAACCTCTCTCAAGACATCGACTAGGCGTCGCCCACGCTCATCCACGCCCACGTCGAGAGGGCCGTTGCCAGAACCATGAACGTCAAGATGCCGGCACCGGCCCTGTCGCCCATCTTTATCGGCTTGTGGTGGTCCATAATGTCTTGCGAGTCCGCGCCCGCGTTGAAGTCCCCCTTGGATGTACCGCCCGTGCTGTTCGTCAAAGGAGGCTTGGCGCTGTTGATGAGGAGTGAAGACACGGCGCTCAATACGTTCATCGTTTGGCCCGCACCCGTCTTGCCGTCGTACTGGCCAGAGTACCACTGGAATCCGCACGTGCGTCCCTCGGGGCCGCCAGTGCATTGAGCGATTGCCTTCTCCGCCGAGTTGCGAAGCACCGGAAGGATCGTGTCTGCCGTGAAAGGGGCCACCTGCGTCATGGTGGAAAGCCAGCGGGCGACGTAGCCTTTGAACGACAGCATGTCCGTCGTGCAGCTCATCTTCTTTTCGCATGCCACCTCGTAAGCAATGTTGTTAGGGAAAAAGACCTCAATAGTCCTCTGTAGAAGGCCATCGATGCGTGTCTTCCACTTCGCGTCACCGTCGGTCTATCTCTCAAGTCAGTACTCGCTCAGACCCGCATTCGTTCGTCCAGGAGGGGAGTGACGGCAAGTGACGTACAAAGTTGTACATGTGGGCGGCGCCCAAGAGGAAGACGGCGTTGTTGTAAGAGAACTGGGCTTTGTTGATATCGGTACAGTTATGCTCGACGTGGCCGCCGTCGTAAATGTTGTATTCAGAGTCAATGAAGCCAACGTTCGTCATCCAGTCCCACGTCTTGTCGGCCCAGTCTGCGTACGTCGAGTTCTTGGTGTAGCGCGCGAGACGGGCACCAATGTTGAAGAAGCAGCCGTTGGCGATACCTGCAAAGCTGTCAGTCTCTCCCAGATGCTCCAAATGAGATGCTCCATATGAGATGGAGGGTTCGCCGTACTGTTCTTGTAGTTGTAGCCGTTGTTGGCGAAAGGAATCTGCCATCGCAAGCCACCGCCGCACGTCTCATCGTGTCGATCGGGCGAGGCTTGCGTGTGGAACACGGCCTGGGCGAGCGACAACCACTGTGGCTGGTCCTCGGGCGGGTCAGGAAAGCCGACTTCGGCAGCCAGCATGGCGCTCATGCCCCAGAAGCCTTGATCGTCGTTGCCGAGGGACATGGTGACGTTGCTTGGCATGTAGTCGCGGCCTTCGCCGACCTGCCAAAGCATGGCTTGGGTGATAATGCCGTTGTACGTGTCGTCGCCCGTGAGGTGCCAGTAATCGATCAGGGCTCCCCACATTGCGCCGGCCTCCCACCAGTAGTAATCACCTGCCGGAGGCGGACCGGGCAGGATGCCAGGCGTTTGGCCTGTCTCGTTGCCGTGATAGTATGCCACCAAGTCATGAGCGAGGGTCTTGGCCGCACTCCGGATTGCGTCGTCCGATTGGATACTGTAATAAGCTGCGTGGGCTGTGTGAGCCGAAAGTAGCGTCGTCGCGGCGCGCGCGACGAATGAGCCCTTCATCGCGAAGAGGGTGTTTTGTTGCCGTGTGAAAGACGAAGATGAGGAGAGGGGAGAGAGAGAGCCGATAAGCGAGTGACTGGATGGGCGACAAGAACAAATGGAAGGGTGCACCCGATGAGTGTGTCAACAGCCAAGTGCACGGAAAGCCTGAGACTGGGAAAGATTAAGACAGGTGAAGATTGGGGGGGGAAGGGAGGTCAAAAGATGGTAACGAGTGGAGGAGACCTGGAGATGGATGAACAAGCTAAGGTAAGGCAGGAGGAGGGAGAGGAAGGAGACTGAGACAAGAGGCAGAGAAGGGACAGAGAAGGAGGATCTGGGCTACCATGGTAGGGCGGCGTATGACGACTGATCAGGTACCGTCGGGGGCTACCTGACGACTACCTGTTGGTCATGTACCTGATTCGGCCCCCCCTCTCGCTCTCTTCTCCCCCCAAGCCTTAACATGGGCAGGAGAAAACCAGTTCGTGGGACTCGTAATCGTCTCTCCCTTCAGCCTGTAAAAGTGCGCGATGGGCGACATGGTGCGGCCATGGACAGGGGACCATCGGTGGTGGAATGTGGGTGCCTCTGTGCCGAGTTCCGGGTGTGCCTGCCAACGCTGTCTCTGTCGCGCTTGCCTTGCCTGCCTTGCCTGCCCTGCACCTGCCCGTCCCAGCTTTTTCGAGGGTCGGCCCTGCCTTTTCCGTAGGGTGGCCAATGGGCGCCGCGCCAAGGCCTTTGACTGGCAAGAGAAGCCTGCCAAGCATCTGCCAGTGGTCTTGGTCCCGCTGCTTGGCGATCTCTCAGTGCCCTGAACCCCTTGTACTTTTTGCCCTGTCGCCCGGCGGTCGGGTTTCTTCCTCATCGTCCGATCAATTGACCCTTCAACCCCATCCCACCATCGTCGTGCCGCTCGTGCGTCCGCAGTTCTCGAACGCACGAAGAACGACCTGAGAGCATGTCGACGTACATTCGGGGAAACGGGGTGAAAAGGGGGCAGGCCGCGCCCTGGATGGCGCGTTCGAGACCACGTTCCAGCAAGTGAACCTGGCTTCCAGCCAATCATGGCCCAACTTACCCTCCCCCAGTCGGTGGCTTTCTCGTGCTGTGAGCATCGACTTTTAAGCTTGTTATGCTGCTATCAATACCATGCGCCAACGTAGGTACATGTACACGGGTACCGGAGCACCAGGTACTCTGCCGTTGCGTCTGGCATGTGTACCTGCGAAGTGTCCTGCGCATTGAGGATACCTCTAGCCATCCTCCTCTGAACGTAGCCTGCCAGCCGTCGTACCATCGGCCATCCCTCCTCCACCAACCTCCCCTTCGCCTCCGCTACCCCTGAATATCTGAATGCCGCTGCCGCCATCATAAGAATGGATGTTCACCCATCCTTGGCCTCTTTTGAGAACGCTGCGTTGATAACGCGACATGAACATACCCTCACGCACCGAACACACGTCTGTTGGTGTTGACATGTAGCTCAGCCCAAAAGCTGAGTCGACAGAATTCGTCCCTGCGCCTACCATACATGTATACATGTACTGCCGCGCCGGGATCTGTGGAGTCAACCGTCTTGGCACAAGACTTGGCGCTCGAGATCCTCCTCAAGCAATTGGGATGGGCTGTGCATGCATGGCACGCGACATTGGCAGCCGGGGGGAGGGGGGCTTTTTTCAACTACATCTCCCTCATGAAGAGCGCGAAACAGTCGAGTCCTATGACGACAAAGGGTTTTGGTGGTCTACGAGTTCTCCTTGCGAGAGAAAGTTCAGTTCAAAGGTGCGTGGGTACCAACAGCAAGGGCCCTCACACTCAGGTCCTTTCGCGCTCGCCGGTCCGAACGCGCGCCCCCCCCTCTCCCCCCTAATTTTAGGAGCCTACGGGAATGTGCCGGCTGCGACGGCACACAGTTACGCGTGATTTCGTCGGATTGGCCGCGAACTCAATTGCTCGAGTGAATGCACGTGACACACCTTGGTGGAGGGTCGCCTTAGTCAGAACATGAAGTACCATGTACAGTCGCTTCCACTGTCAAGATGGGATGACACCTTGGCCCCAGCGCTGTGTTTACCAAGTCACTCAAGACATGTCACATCGCCTCACACGATTGGATTGCACGGGTTGTAAAAAAGAAGAAAAAAAAGCCAAATGATTGTGTGGGCACTATTCTAGCACCAAAGCCAAGAAAAAAAAACGTACACCAGACGGTGCTGTACGCATAATCCAGTTGTACACCAACGCCGCTTTCACCACCCATCCTCCTACCTACCTAGGTACCTAGATACAACTAACGATTGTCTGATCATACCTCGTTTCGCGACAATGAAAACCACAGACAGGTTTATATGTATGAATGGGAAAGCAAACTCTTGTTTGAAAGGAATCAAGTACCCGGGAATAGACTCCATCGCTCAGAAGGGGAAGGCTGGAGACTCAAGAGCTTATACTCATGAAGAAACAGAAATGCAGATGGCTTGCTGAATGCTTGACCATCGTCGCCGTCGTCGTCATACTAGTTAAATGTAGGAAATGCGGGCACCAGCAACAGCGATGTTCCAAGAAACGTGGTCGTTGTCGTAGACGCCGACGAGCTCAAAGGCCTCGACGGTACCGGGGGCCTTGCAGGGCGTGCGCTTGGTCAGGTAGGCGCTGTACGTGGCATCCCAGGTGGCGAGGCCGCCGCGCTGCACCGACATGCGGCCGAGGTTGACATTGCGTTGGTTGCCGGGAGCCCAGCCAGACGTGCAGTCGGGGGCGGGGGCCAGGCTGGTGTAGAGGTCGACCTTCTTGCTGCCGTAGAGAGAGGCGCCCTCGTCGAGGAAGAACTCAAAGAGGCACTGCTTGCCGGTGACACCCTCGGGATAGGTAAAGGTCATGAGGGTGGTGAAGTCGCGGCCCTTGTTGTCGGTGGCCTTGTCGACGAGGCCGTAGGAAACCTCGCACTGGATGGCGCCGTTACTCACATCGTACGTGGAGACGGACGAGGGCTGGAAGTAACCGCTGGGAGTGGGGTCCGGAGTCGGGGTGGAGTGGCCGGGGCTGGTGGAGTTGGAGTACGGGTACCGGGCCTCGAGGGGAGCGCCCAGGACGGAGCCGGCGGCGACGGTGAGAGCGACAATGGCGTAGGAGAGCATTTTCAATTACTGTTTTCGGGCTTGATTACGAAGAGCGCTTTGTGAGAAGAATGATATAATCTTTTGAAAGATTGTGTTAAGGAAATTGTATGACGGATATAGGAAATAAGGAAAATAGAAAAGGAAATATGATGCTGTGGTTAGATGAGATGGTATGGTTAGAACAGGAAATGTGATCGTGAATTTGACGAAATGGTGTCGTCTTTATAGAACCAGCCAGAGAGCTGAACAGCACCAGATGGGGGGCTCGTACAGCCTAGGTAGGCTACAGACATCGACAGAGTTTACATCGTCAACGAACTGCCAAGGGCCATGCCCAGTACTCCCAAGCTTTCGTGCTCCAAATAGCATGCCGCCGACGAGATGTCTGGTGAAGCGGCCGGTGCACTGCCAGCCAAGCTTCATGATGACTGCGCCCAGCCCAAGAGGCTTGTCGATTTCCTGTCAACCCCATAGGACGCCACGGTTACTCTGGTTCGACTCGATGTACTCGAGAGAGGGGAACCAGCCTCCCGTGCCGTCCATTGCTGTCTGCTAGTTCCAGTAGTGATGCGTTGCATTGGCGAGGCGGTGCGGGGTCTTTTGTTCAGCAAGCCACATAACGGCCGCCTGTTCAGCTGAGCAGGAAGCAGTAAGCGTTGTGCAACATCTCAAGAGCTCGCTAGGAGTTGCACTGATGTCCAACAAGGTTCAGCCCGAGCGAATAGAACCGGCTCGTCAGGTCTTCCGAGTCGGTCCCATCTTCTCGGGCTGTGGCGGGGTGAATAATACCAGCAGTCAGATTGTGAGCTGGTAGGGCTGAGCTTTCGGAGACGTGTGCGGCTGAAGAACAAATGCTCGTCATTTGTCGGCTGGTGTTGTAGTGAGATGTTGAGTTTGATGCTAACGGCAGGTCCAAGGACTCCTGATAGGTGAGTCCACGAAGACATCGGCCGTCACAAGTGTTGGTCGGTGCTGCAAATACTTCCGATCGTGGCTTCGCTGGTTGCGGCGTTGTCGGTCAGAGGTACTTGAAGACGTCTACCCGACGACCAAGACAAAATGAAAACCAACGGAGGAAAGTCAAAGCTCGTTCGAGCCCAGAGGGGTGTGTCGGCATTTGTTAGCAACAAACATGCTCATGCAGGCAAATTACTGAAGCGGTCGCTAGATGTTCAGAAGCCCAGTTGTCAGAAATGTTGCTAGAAGAGCTACTTGCTCAACATGGCTGTGGTGACTGGCCACCCGAACGGGATGACTATGCGATTACGGAAAGCAAGCCAGCTCTGGAGAACTCGGGCATCGGGCGGCTTGGAAGGCTCGCGATGTCAAATCCTGAGGACGCAGGTAATTATGCCAGTGGTGGTCATCGCCCCACCACTAATCTTCCACTCTGACCCTCTCCTTTGCGTCCGTTGTGTGTGCTGCGAAATGAATGACCTGTACTGGATAGAGCTCACCTCTCTCGGAGGTGACACGGCTGTCCTGGTCTTGAACAGCATAAAAAGAAATTCTACCAAATGAAAAGGCAGACAGCCATGCAGCTGCGGTGTGACCAAGCACCAGCGTTGGCACTGCGATGGTGAGGAGGGTCCATCACGCAATCCAACCACCAACGACTCCCAATCAACACTTAGATACCTCCTCACCGTGTCTGCTGTCTGCACATCTGCCACCACCCCATCGACGCCTCAACCCATCGTTGATTCCTGGAACTCTGTGCCTCGGGAAGCAATTGACATGGCTCCAGCTCAGCTCACAGGCCAGGCGCTCCTGGCTCGCGCGATCCAGACCACGCCCATCATTGACAATCACGCGCATCCTCTCCTCAACCTTGATGCAATTGGCCGCTACCCGCTCCTTTCCATCGTCACTGAGGCCCACGGCGATGCCATTCACGCCTCACTGACCAGCCTTGCCCATCTGCGAGCTGTCAAGCAACTGTCAGGTATTCTCAAGTGCGAGCCCACATGGGAGGCTGTTGTCAACGCAGTCGAGCAGAAACGCGTCGGAGATTATGACGCTTGGGTGGCGGAATGTCTCACTGGCATCGAGTCCGTCCTGGTCGATGATGGGCTTGATGGAGAAGACAACGTCTACCCCTACACGTACTTTGACGAACACACGCCGAGCTCGGCCAAGCGTATCGTGCGCATAGAGCAAATCGCAGCCTCCATCATCAACGCCCACTGTCCCGAGCAGGTCTCTGGGCGCAAGACCTCCGAGGACATCGCTTCCGCTTTTGACCAGGTCGTAGAGGAGTTTGACCTCGCCATTTTGAGGGCCACGTTCGACACCGAGGTCGTGGGCTTCAAGTCTGTCATCTGCTATCGGACCGGTCTCGCCATCCCCCGCAAGCCTGACATCGCCGCCGCGAGGCAAGCCTTCGAAGGGATTTTCAAGACGCATACCCAAGGAACTGGCAAGGCTTTCACAAGAGTCGACCACCAAGGTCTCAACGAGTTCTTCGTCCACAGGTTGGCTTCCCTTATTAGGGATGGCGAAGCCCCCGTGAAGAAGCCAATTCAATTCCACACGGGTCTGGGTGACAACGACATCACCCTCACCAGCGCATCGCCGTCTCACCTTCAAGAGTTTATACGAGAGTACCCCACCGTGCCCATAGTCCTGCTCCATGCCAGTTACCCGTACACCCGAGAGGCTGGGTACCTCGCTACTGTCTACGCAAACGTGTATGCCGACATTGGGGAAATTTTTCCCTTCCTCAGCCAAGATGGCCAGGAGACGGCTGTTCGTCAGATTCTCGAGCTTTGCCCGTGGTCAAAGATCTTGTGGAGCACTGACGGACACTGGTTTCCCGAGACTTACTTGCTAGCCGTGTTGCAGGTGCGAGAGGTCTTTGGGAAGGTGAGTATCCGTTCATCACCACACCCCTAGCGAAGAGACTAAGAAGTTCAGGTGCTCGGAGACTTCGTCCGCAAAAGACATATTACCTGGCAGGAAGGCTGCCAGCTCGTTCGCGATGTCTTCTTCAACAACTCTAATAAGCTGTACCGCCTCGGGCTGACCCTGCAAGATGAGAACGAAGCCCCGGGACAGTCCCAACAGACCGTGTCTAGTGACCTAGACCTGCTCGAGGAGTACCTTGCTGCCAACCCGACACCAACGTTTCTCCGGGTGTATTGGAACGACTTCACAGCCACACCCAGAATGCGTGCCATTCCTCTACCCAATGTCTTGCGGCAACTTCGTGAAGAGGGTGTTTTCAGCGTTGGGGTAACCAAGGCGTCATTGGGTCTGCTCCAAAATGACCTGAGCGCCCCAGGTACTTCGCCAGTCGGAGAATACAGACTCTACCCAGACTTCAGCTCACTCGTGGGCGGTCCCGGCAAAGGTCATGCCAGCACTTTCGGTGACTTTCGTGAACCGGACGGTTCGGCAGTCACTCTTTGTCCGCGGACGCTGTTGCAGCACCTCACTGACCTGGCATCGAGACGTGGCTTATCTTTTCAGCTCGGCTTCGAGGTAGAGCTTGTGTTGCTTCAGCGTGGCTCATTCGACGGCCAGCCCTACTACTCCGCGCTGGAGACAGACGGCCACGCCTGGAGCGTTGGCCGCGCCATGGACAGCCCTGTTGTCGCTGAGGTCATCGAGCCGGCTATCGCCGCCCTTGCAGAGCAAGGCATCTTCATCGAGCAAGTACACCCTGAAAGCGCACCGGGGCAGTTCGAGGTTGTGCTACCAAGGGCGGCACCACTTGCAGCCGTCGATACTCTGATTCACGTGCGCAATGTTATCTCGAATGCAGCTACGAAGGCAGGCTACAGAATGACACTGCATCCCAAGCCCTTCGCCATGGCCTGTGGCAACGCTGCCCACGCGCACTTGTCCATATCGTCGGCTAATGGCGACAAACCAGAGGTTTACCAGCCTTTCTACGCAGGAATATTGAGACACCTTAGAGCCATTTGTGCTTTGACATACAGTAATCCCGCCAGTTACAACCGTCTAGTTGATGGCGCATGGGCTGGCGGCAGATGGGTGGCCTGGGGCACGCAGAACCGCGAGGTTCCGCTTCGCAAGGTCAGCGGAAGCCACTGGGAGATCAAATGCATCGACGGCCTTGCGAACCCTTACCTCGCCATTTCAGCCATTCTGGCTGGTGGGCTCCTGGGTGTCAAGAATAATGAAGCACTGATCTGGGGTGACTGTGGGGTTGATCCCGCCACACTTACGGACAATGACAAGCGGGAGCTCAATGTGGAGGAGATGCTGCCGCTGTCTCTCGACGAAGCTCTGGCAGCGCTGCAGAAAGATGATGACATGGTCTCGCTTATTGGAGAGGAGCTCGTGGAGCGATATGTCAACGTGAAAGAAGCCGAGGCGAAATTCCTTGAAGAGATGAATGTGGAAACCCGCCGGCAGTGGATCATGGCCCGCCATTAAGTCCTATTCGAAAGGAGCAGCAGTCACTGTCAGACAGTCTTGGGAACCAAGCGACGACATGGGTTATCATTGTTGAACAGTAATCAAAACGCTTCATCATGTATCTAATCGAACGTAATCTTGGTACCCGTATGCTTCGCCGCCGTGCCCGTCAACCTCGCAACCATGAGATCGTCCTGCGCCTTGAGTTCCCTTGGCGGCATTGGCTTCTTCTCCCTCTTAGGAGCCTCTCCACCATCCGCCGTGGTACCATCGGCTTGTACCTGCCGTCTTGGTGCGTCCTTGCCGAATCGCTTCTTGTACCGCACCTGGTCGTCCTCGGCAAGTTCAATCTTGAGGTTCCGGCCGGCAATCCTGTTAACCCACCATTTCCTCATCTTGAATTTCTTCTCCGACTGAGCATCCGTGTCTTCTTCCTCGTCTGAGTTGTCCTCCGCATCAGCGTCCTTATCCTTCTTGCCCTTGACGAAGTCATCTTCCGTCTCCAGCTCCTCTTTGATCCTGCAAAAGCCCTTGACCGCCCAGCCAGCAGACTCAGCCTCGCGGAACTTGACCCAGCCGTAGCCCTTGCACTTGCCCGAGTCCTCGAAAGTAGCGACCTTGACCCAGTCGATTTCGCCGCACTTCTCAAAGTTGGCGCGTACGTCCTCCTCGGTCGTCTGGAAGCTGAGATTGCCGACGAAAATCTTGCGACTGGTGGGAATCTCATCCTCGGCCTTCTTCTTGGCGGCGGCAGCGATTTCAGCTTCGTCCTTCTTCGGTCTGCCGTCGTATGACGTCGAGTCCTTGATGAGGAGCTTGCGGTAGAGCAACTCGTTTTCGGTCAGGGCGATGGCGGCCACCTTGGCGCCAATATCGGCAAAGTCGACGTAGGCGAAACCTTTGTTCTTCTTGACCTTGTTGCCGCCGTCCTTGGTCATGGGCATGTTTATCCTGGTGATGGACTCGTTGGTGATGACCTCGCCCGAGTTCTCGATGAGCCACTTGCGCAGCATATCCGGAGTGACGGCGAAGGGCATATTGCCGACCCAGACACCATGTTCGGAGCGATTGGACTTCAGCTTCTCCTTCTCTTCTTTCTTGGCCTCCTTCTCATCGTCGCTGTCTTGCTTGGGTGGCAGCGTCTTGCCCTTCTTTTGAGCACGTTTCGCGCGCTTGGAGGGGGGCTCGGGGGCTTCAAGGTCGACCTCGAGCTCTTCGAGTTCGGCCTTGCGCTTCTTAGGAGAGGAAGCGTCCTCCGACATTGGCGTCTTGTTCGTCTTTTCGGTAGCCATCGTTGCAGTCGCAGTTGGGGGGCTTGGTCGATCAAGTCGGCTTGGCTGACCATCAAGTTGTTGCAAAGTCGAGGGGATCTTCTTTTGCGGTCTGGTTTTTTTTGTGGAGCCAAGGGACCGATAGCGATAAGCGGCTGACCGGGGTAAGCACACAGGCACATCCCGGGGTTCATGGAGGCGTCAATAGCTTCACATGTCGACTCAGAATCTATCTGATACTTCTTTTGCCGTCCGTCCTTGCATGGGTGATTACACTAAAGACAACAGTCGGGAATAGACGAGAGTCAGGGAAAGGGGCATGTCGACGGATCAAGCATGCCTGAATTGGCCGAGAAGGTTGTGTAAAGAAAGGCGCCGCCTTGCGTGCATGGCTCTTCAGCTCACTGGTAGACCTGGTGACCAATCCCTGGCAAATAACTTGGTTGGTAACTCATTTATTGGTTGCTCAGCTCACCTCACGTGGTGGCTTTTAAGCCTGGAGCTAGGCTTGAGTTGGGCGCCTGAGTTGTTGGGTACAAGCGCTGGAGCCGGCAACTACCTTAGCTTACCACCTGGTGTCTTCGCATGAGGATAGATACGTGCCTCTGCGAACAGTCTCACAATAAGCCGTCGGCAATCTAAAAGAAAGCAAGAAAAGAGAGAAACACATCAGAAGAAAACAAAAAGTTGCGTCTTGTGAAATGCAGGGATGCCGACAGGTTCTCGTGAAGGCTCGATCTCCGTCCGAACCCACAAACCATGCTGTGGCAACAGCGGACCCCGAGGGGCAATCCAGCAAAATTACAGGTGGTTCGCATGCAGGCCTCCACCCCGACTCAGGCGCTGGCCCCGCCAACACACCGGCGCTAACTCCTCACGGGCCCGGGCGGCTTAAGTGGGCGGGCAACTGAAGGCCTTGTACTGCACTTCCAGGCCTGCACCGTCCAACCATCCGACTTTCAAAACACCCGACCCATCCATCCATTCCCCTCACCGACCTCTTCCCTCTGACCTACACCCGTCTTCTCTCGATTCTCCTCACGAACGCCAGTCACCGACAGAACAACCGAGCAATCAATCGCCTATCCGTCACAAAGCACCTACGCCGACCGATCGACTGCGATCGCTGCTTCTGGCACCACAACTCGATTTGGACGCTTCCCCTGGTGTGCATCGAGTGGTGACAAAAGGGATTTCGCATCAGGCTTTTGCACGATGAATGTCTTGCTGTCGCCACAACCTCACCTCCTCCCTCATCAGCACGACTCCGCCCGCCGCTCCCCTTCTCGCTCCGGTAAGCCGTTAAACCATCTGCAGACGCTTCTCATTTGCGAACGACAATTTAAAAATCACTACCAAATAGCGTCATCCTGTAATCATTTCGACTAACTCGTCAATAGGCAGCCCCTTTCACAACATGACCAGCACCCGCAAGAGGAAGGCCGACGAGGATGGCGATGAGATGTCCATGTCCCCCCGCAGCTCACCTGCATTCTCCGCCCGACAACTCTCTCGCCCTTCGAAGAAGGTCCGGTCGAACGAACTTGTTGGTCGCCAGCTCAGCCTACCCAGACTGCTCGAGACTCTGGATCCTACCCAACTGCGAACCGTCCTTGAGCGCATCTGCGAGCGACATCCGGATATCGGCCAGGAGGTTGTTGCCGGCGCTCCTCGACCCACGGTTGCTGCCGCGCAGGGCGTGCTGCAAGAATATGTGGCCAAGATGAAGGAAGCCATGCCCTACGGAGAGTCCAGTGCCGAATACACATACTATCGAGTCAAGGCTCCCTTGACGGCCCTCATCGAGGCTCTTCTCGACTTCACGCCCCAATACCTTCCCCCCATCGAGACGCAAACCACCGTGTCTCTTGAATACCTCGACCTCGCCACCGACATCATCCACGGGCTGCCCGACTGGGAACTTCAACAATATCGACACCACAAGGACGCTGCCTACGATGAGATCTCCAAAGCCTGGGCGTTGGTAATCAACGAGGCCGCCAAGCGCGGAGGAGGCCTCAACCTACACTCTGGCGGTTGGGATCAGAAGCTGGCCAAGCACAATGAGATTTCTCACGGGCGGATGGGCACTGCCATGAATGCCATGGCTACCGGCGTAGGGTGGATGGGCAATGGCAACTCCAGCGGCGCTCCTTCGAACAATGCCTCGGATCCAAACTCGATCCTGAACCAACTGATGTCTGGCACGTACGGGGCGCCCGTCCGTGTAGGACCATGGTAAAGGCAGACGACAATGCAGCATGACCAACTACAGCACATTCCGACAGCTCACGACGATTGATGAATTGGTTTTTTATGTTTCGCCTGGCTTTTTTTTTTGTTTTTCCTTCTTCGCACAAGGCATCGGCAAGGGCATAGACACTCTGTTTTCAGGGGCATTCACAGTCGGTTCACGGGACGGCGTTCAACTGTTTTTGCACGGATGATATCCCCATCTCAACTACTCACGAGTTGGCAAGCACGGGGGCCTGGGCCCCAGTCGCAGCTAGGATCAGGCATATCAACATTCCTTTCTCTATGTATGTAATAACAAGCCGGTCGCCATATGCCTCCGCCTTGAGAAGATCTCAAGCTGTAGAGATTCTTCAAACGACCATGCAGATCCGCAAGTGATACCGAGGAATGTTTTCACCTTCTTATATGAAAGTGTGAGATCTTGTCTTGAGACAAGAAGTCCTCATGCAACAGCACACATGTGCTTATTCCACATCGTAAACCTGCATGAAATGCAGTTTGAAACGATATGGCTCATAAGCTGGACCGGTTCGAAAATTGGCAAGTCGCTCCGAAATTGAGGTATGAAGCCAATCTCGAGCGAGACTGTGGTATATATTCCTCGCATTGCCTGCGCCTGAAAAGCAGACATCTGGCAAGCGGACATTTACACATGTTCGGCTCAGCGGATGCAACCTGAAATAATGAAGGATGGCGGCCACATGTACAGCACTCACGCACTGTCATGACTCGCAAGTCAACATTGAGTACCTATTTGGTGGGGTTCCGATCTATCGGTGGGGAACCATCATCAAGTCACGTGATCACCCGTTTGGTACTGGGGACTCGACGCGTGTGGTAACTCGCCTCGGGAACCAGACGCGTGCCACAACACCCAGATGCCCACACTCCACATAGCCAAAGTACGGCTAGGCAGCGACCTGACTCCGACCTCATTTATCTCCTTTATCGATACCCAAGCTTCGTCTGCCGGTCTGATTACTATTTTGCTTATGAGAGGCTTCATTTCCGCGCCAAACTGAAGATGCCTGCGTGCGTATTTCCACCCAGACGCGTTCAAGATGCACCACTGACCTCTTCACAGCCCAGGCGATCAACACAGCGGCAACCTCGTCAACCCTTTCGAGGAGCCGCAGAAGCGAATGACCGAATACACTGCTCAACAAATTGCCACACTGCAGAGCCGACTGGAGAAGCAGCTGGGACCTGAGTACATATCTGCGCGAGCAGGTCCGTCGGGTCAAAAGGTCCACTACATTGCCGCCGAAAAGTGCATCGCCCTTGCAAACGAGGTTTTTGGCTTCAATGGCTGGTCCTCGGGGATTCAGAACATACAGGTTGATTTCGTCGACGAGCATCCACAAACTTTGAAGATCAGCCTAGGTCTATCGGTCATCGTACGTGTGACGCTGAGGGATGGTACCTTCCATGAGGATATAGGGTATGGACATATTGAGAACTGCAAAGGAAAGGCGGCCGCTTTCGAAAAAGCAAAGAAGGAGGGAACTACAGATGCGTTGAAGAGGGCATTGAGAAACTTTGGCAACGTCCTCGGCAATTGCATCTACGACAAGGACTATCTGGCCAAGGTCACCAAGCTAAAGCCTGGTCCCACCAAGTTCGATGAAAACAAACTGCATCGGCATTCAGATTTTGCAAAGAAGGAGGAGAAGGAAAAGGAGAAAGAGAAAGAAGAGTCCCTCATCAAGAAGGAGATGGCTGACTCGCTCGACGACCTTTTGGATGCCGACTTTGACGAGATGGATTTCGCTATTAATGAGGAGGGTCACCCTGACGAAATCGTGCTGCCACCTGCAAACAATCCATCGACAACAGTACCGAACCAGGCCATCAACCCCCAAATCAAGTCAGCCCAGAACATGCAACCCCCTTCCAGGCCCATGGGCAGGAGTGTCTCAGCTGGCAATGTGGGCAACATGCGAGGCCCGCAAACCCCTACTCAGGGGTCAAATATGAGGCAGGCTCCTCAAGGAGCATACCAGAACAGACCAGTGCCCCCTAATCAACCACGAGCGCCTGCGAACATAGTAGCACCTGCAGCTCCCCAGAACATTCAACGGGCTAATAACGGTACGCCCCCACCGAACGCTGGTAGTGCCGCTGCGGCCGGGACGCCTGAGTCTGTGGGCTTCTTCTCTGCTCGCGCCGTCAAAGATATCCCTGAGAGCAAGTTGAGCAGCAACAACCCAAACGCCGCTCTTTCCCTAGCACCAGGACAACACGCATTCAACCCAAAGGCCGAAAGCCCTTCGATCCGCAAGACCCCTGGAATTGACCACAGCTCTTCCAAGCCTGTTTCTCGGAATGGACAGCATGTTCCTCCGGCAGCCAGTCAGGCGGGAGCTGCAGGGGGTGGAGGGATCTCAAGCGCTTCTGGCTTCACCCCGCAAAGACCGACCTCGGGACCTCAAGGTGGCATGGGAAACCCGCAACTCAGCCAAACAAGACGCATTGGAGCACCCGCTGGCCCGGCTAGCCCCCTCGCCAATCGCAACTCGTATCGCGCCCCTACTATGATCAAGAGACCAGTACCCCAGGAAGGGGCGACAGGCAGGCCACCGCTGGCTGAGGTAGTGAACAAGAGCGGGCCGACAGTAAACAGTGGTAGTGAAATGGCTGCAGTCGATGCTGCTAAGCGGCAGAGAACATCTTAGCCCAGTTTGGAGCTTATTCTGAGTGTGTAACCTGCGGGGGAAATGATGGGGGCATGGCTTATATTGGTGCTTGGTTGTATGGAGTTATGGCGGTCACCTGGCTGCTCGGATGGGCTTATGAGGTCATGTCACACAAGGGGCATTTGATGATGAATACATTTCTAGTTTGGTCCTGTTCAATTCGTACATTCCATGGATTGACCGCAATGCTTCTTCTACTCTTTACTTTCCTGCTCAACCTCGTTGCACATGAATATGGCGTCTTCTAAAAAAAAGTCATGTAGGATCTGTGATTACAATGTGTTCTAGCTTCTATGTGGGAATATACATTTCTAAATACCGCACCATGCTACTGATCAAAGACCAGGGCCGGCAAATTCAGCATTCTTCCACCCCAGGGCCCTCTTGACACTCAGCCAGAGCTCAAACGCTTCCAGCTTGATCTCGACGCGCAAGAAGCCGACCCAGGCGGCGGCAAGTCGAATGGTGTTTGGCGGCCAAAACAAAGAGCCCTGCTTCTTCAGCTCCTCGACCTGCTCCTCGAAGACGGTGCGCGTGCAGTAACGTGCTAGGATCATGAATGTCCGGATCGGACCCTGGCGGGTGTGAAGGTTCTCATCAAGGGCACGTGTGAGATCGTTCGTCTTGAGAATGAGGAGGATGATGCGCGGAACCTGACCCAGGAGCTGGACAAGGTCGGCTAGCAGGCCCTCGGAAAGAGCATCCCCCATCTCCTTCTTCTCATCGGCGGTACGCGTCTGCAAGATGGAGGCGCCCGCATCCTTGCCGTCCTGATCGCTGGCGTTCTTTCCGGAGAGAATGCCAAAGTCGCGGCCCGTGATTGCGGACGCAAAGATCGGGAACTGCTCGTCAGTGATGTGGGCTACCTCCTTCGCGTAACGGCGCATGCGGTCCATGTCGCCATCGATGACGGCCAGCCACATCTTCGCATAGGAGCGCTGCAGGTCACGAGGGATCTCGCGATACAGCCCATGGTCGTAGAGGATGATGTCAAAATTGTGACCGCCAACGCGGCGACCGCGCGCGTCGTTTTTGCGAATGGCGAGGTTGCCACCATGAGGATCGCAATGAAGAGGAGCGCCAGCGCCAAAAATCATTTCGTTGAAGACGCGTGCCAGGCACGCCGAGACCTCATCACGGTCAATACCATTGGCGTCGAGATATTCCAGGTCGTCTAGGCGGTGGCCGGATTCGCGAGCCATGACAAGGATGCGCTGCTTAGCCCAGAGGACATCAGGGACCACAAGAGGGTGCTCCGGGAGACGGGCAAAGTGCTGCTGAGTGCGCCTCGCGTTCTCCGCCTCTTCTGTAAAGTCTAGTTCCTTCGGTAAAGATACGTCCATCTCGGAGGAGAGCCACTCTAGATCGTATTCGGGAAAGAAGCGCTTCAGCATCGAGAAAGTAAACCTGGTCAAGGCCAGGTCAAGAAGCGCCCACTGGGCAAGCTCTGGGTGCTGAACCTTGACAGCTACGTGCTGCCCAGTCTCCTTGATTGTTGCGGTGTGCACTTGAGCCAGTGACGCAGCGCCGATTGGCTCCAGAGAAAACTCGCTGAAGAAGTCGAGGATCCCTTGGCCGGTGTCCTTGCGGAACATGTTTTCGATCGATTCGTACGACGAGACGGGGCATTTGTCTTGGAGCGGGATAAAGGTAGTCGTCCACTCTGTCGGTAGAAGATAGTTCATTGCGCTCTATAATCCATTAATCAGCAAGTTGAACGAGGGTATTGCTACGTGCTGATTTGGCGACGTACCAAGTGTTGGCCTAATTTGATGAAGATGCCTCCATTCTTCTCCAGAACCTTGAGAGTCCTTCTGGCACATCTTGTATGGCAGTCGCTCAAAAGTTTGGAACGGATGTCTTCGTCAGATTCGGAGTCTCGCTGGTTCAAGGTTGTGCGGTAACTATGACACTGTCAGCGCAACAGCTCCCGTCTCATCTCTGCGATAGGCATCGTACTCATTAATGCAGACAGCAAGTGCCGCCGCGACTCGTCCAGCTCGCTCAGCAGCATCGTATCCGTACTTGATATCGTCGGTAAAGGCTAGCACGCCGGCTGTTGCAGCGCCGCCTGTCGAGGCGAGAAGGAGGACACCCTTTCGGCCATTGCGAGTATTCGGCCTCCCATTTGTCCAGGCCCTCGAGGAATACTTTGCTCGGAAGGTAATAGTCGAAGGCGACTTAGGCCGGCTCAATTGGGTGCGGCAGGTGGCGCAAGTCCACCCTGGCGTCCATGGTCGCGTGTTGAGCCGGCGCAGTGGGAGTGAAAAGGCGGAGAATGAGGCTTTCATTGGGATGTCGTCCTGTTGCCACCAATGCTCTGACTGAGAAGAGTGGAAGCGGCTGGGAGCATTATCATCTGTAGGGTGTTGTGTCGCAAAGATGCACGGAGCACGAGCGCGTGGTGGAGGCTAGAGCTGGTGATGTCGACACATGTGACGAGTTGTTATTAGTGGCGATCATCAGCAGTTTTTTCTCTACCTTCATCATCGTTGTCCTAACGTCTTCGATACAGCGCAGATAGAACCGTCCCGAGGCCCCACTCCGGTTGGCTATCCGTTTTCTGCCTGTTCAGGGGACTTCCGTTTTGACCCGCAGCTAACCTTGGCAGCTTGGCCTCCACCATGAACCAGCCATCTAGGTACGCGCAGATGTCGATGGGCGCTGTTCCATCATATTTTATTACTCTACAATCCCAAACATCTTCAATCGCCAACTTCGTTATACATACTACCAACGTGATCACGTCAGCACGCCTATTGAATATAGATTTCTCATTTGATGGAGTTTCCGGTCTTCTACCGTTCAGATCATGTCCAGTTGTCAACATGGAATCTTCACTCGTCTACCACGAGCCCTACATCACGACCATCGTGATCCTTTGCAGTTTCTTGCTTCTTCTTAATATAGTCTATTATGCGCTGGACCGTATTGTTTACTGTGGACTCATTGGTCAAGTTCTTCTCGGTATCGCCCGGGGCACGCCTGATTTCAATGGCTAGAGAGAGACCTTGAGAATGCTGCTATGCAGCTTGGCTACAATGGGCACTTGTTGATTGTCTATGAAGGTGGAGAGTTTGTTAATAGGGTTCGCGGATATCGCTGACTCGATTCAGGAGGGCTTGCAACCTCATTCAAATCTTTGAAAGCCAATTTATTCTTGTCAGTGGGAGTTGCAGCCATTGGCATTGCCGTCCCCATGGGGCTGTCATTCTTCCTTTTGCCCATGATGGGCACATCATCATTGCAGGCGTTCGCAGCCGGTGCCGCATTGTGTTCGACAAGTCTGGAAACCACGTTCACCATCTTGGGAACAAGTGGACTCTCTTCCACGCGTCTTGGGGTTGTATTGACATCCGCAGCCATGATGGACGATGTAGTCGGTTTAATCATGGTTCAAGTCATCTCAAATTTTGGGGGCCCATCTTTCGACATAGTCACTGTCACACGGCCCGTCTATGTGTCACTCGCATTTGCCATTGCAAGTCCGTTAATCTGCAGATATGTCGTTCTGCCGCTTACCTACCTTGCAGGTCAATTTGGCAAGAGAAAGGCACCAAGGTGGTCGCTTGGACCGCCTCTCTAGTTCCCTAAAGACAGCATTTGCTCTCCACATGTCGATCCTTCTTGCATTACTCGTCGGAGGAACTTATGCTGGTACGTCCGGGCTCTTTGCTGCCTACATCGCCGGGGCATCAATCAGCTGGTGGGATTTAGAAGTTTCCACCCGGCTGCTGGCCAAGCACCTCGTCCGTCTACTGTCCGCGAAGGCAGGGCTACTGCGAGTGAGAACCAACTACGAAGCGATGCAGAAGGTGCTTCTGCCGATGGAGCTCAAAGTTCGTCCTCGACTTCAGGAATGGCTGTTTATAAGAGGTTCTTCGAGAAGGCTGTCAATCAAATCTTAAAACCGTTCTTCTTTGTAAGTCCTCAAATTCTTCCCAAGGGTGCTGTCCATTAACGCTCACCTACCAGGCTTCCATTGGCTTTTCAATCCATGTTAGCAAAATGTTCTCTGGACCCATCCTCTGGCGCGGAGTGGTCTACTCATTACTCATGGTTGTGGGTAAATTAGCCTGCGGACTTTGACTCATCTCATACATGAGCCCGCTTCAGGGTTTGCTGCGATTTTCGTCCCGGCTATCACTTGTTAGTCAACAGAGTAACACAAAGCTCAGCCCTGTGGCTCTCTGTGAGGGGACACCTCCGGCTGGGAAGGCAGTGGTGGCATCCCGCCCGCCACAGGATCGTGCTGAGGAAGTGCTTTTGGAGTCAATGACTCCAGCAACGCAGCCTGTTCCCGCGCTTCCGCATAACGCCAGCCCCGATCCCAAGATGCCTGTGTCATTGTATCCTGCTTGCATCATGGCTTTCGCTATGGGCGCGAGGGGTGAGATTGGCTTCTTGATCTCGGCACTAGCAGAGAGCAATGGTGTGCTTGGGCGACAACCTCATGAAGGGCAACCGTCGGGACTGTTCTTGGTCAAAATATGGGCCATCGCACTCTGCACAATCGGTGGCCCTATCTGCGTGGGGCTTCTGGTGAAGAGGGTGAACAGACTGGAAGGTCAAAAGTTCTCTACAGAAGAGGCAAGCGTCTTGGGAGCCTGGGGTGTCAATGAGATCTAAAAATACGTGATCTAGCCGCTCGGCGGTCAACAAACAGCTTGCGCAAGGGCAGGTCAGTTTGCTGTCAAGATAGAGGTTCCGCTCATGTTGCTGTTGGAATGGTGATATGCATGTATCCGCATTGTGGAAGTACTTCGGTATGTGCATCTCGGCATGTCTTGGGTGCCCCACGTCTTGACGCGCCGCGTCGGACCGCGACTCAGGGTGGCGTTTCTAAAGTGGTTATCTACCCCGGGTATGGCGACTACTTGATCTTCCACAACAACGACCTTGACACCTTGTTCTCTGGCTTCTGCATTCTGCACCGCTTCACTTGAGTATCCGAGAAAGTCACTCTGCTCAGTATATCATGTTTTCTCTCGCCCAGACCCCGATCTTTTCAACAGCATTTGACGCTACCAGCAACATGCCGTGGACCCATAGCCATCGACCTTCCATTTCCTCACCTCTCTCCTCCTCTCCCCTTCGCGCGACCTCCCCCGCGTCACCGACAAGACGCACCACTCTGGACTTTTCGAACCGTCAAACACAGTCGTCGCCAATTCAAGCATCATCCTCCAAGTTCAAATACGCGTCGCGACAAACCAAGCCGAATCCAGCAGTCCGTCGTCGTGAAGAAGCTCAAGAGAGCAGGCGAAAGCTGTTCTTGCAGAACGTACGCCAGCGTGCTGATGAGCGTAATTACGAGCGAAGGGACATGGAAGGAATCGTGAGTTCAACCCCGTTGCGGTCAACCTGCGACCTCGGCCTTGCCCTGGGTGCCTTGGATGAATAGAGGCTGATTGATGGCGCGCAGCTTCTCAAATCAAGCTGGGATAAGCAGATGCGGGAGCTCGTTCTCGCAAAGCGACTCGAGAGTGATGCCGTGTTCTCTGAAGCGGACATCGAACACGCGGCTGAACTGCTGATGCAAGAGGAGGCATCGTCAGAAATCCAGCAGCCACCCGAAAACATCGATGATATGATGGTCGACGAAATGGCTATGCAAGAACAGAGCGAATTGGATGCGCTTGTCATGGCGTACCACGAACCTGCCATGGATCAGCAGGCTGCCTCGAACTCCAGCACAGACGCTCACAGCATGTCCGATGATGAAGACTACGATGCAATCTTCTTGGGCCTGGTATCACAAGAGGACTTTTCAGAGCAGATGGATATGTCGTGATACACACGAAATTCTCGTGGAATTGGTCATGGTCTTTGGGTTGGGCGTAACGGGATACCATTTATTCAGCGTTTGGGGGAGGAAACCGGAGCTGTCTGGCATGGAGTTCAGGAAATGATGCGAAAACGTACTTCAAGGCACTCTGGTCGTACATCCTTGTTTTCGTCATCGGGTACATATGTCAATGTCGAAGTGTAATTGCCCTTCTATTGGGGGTTGCAGCTTTCGTCCGGTGCTCCGAAAGCCTCCTGGGCTGACGCCATATCCCCTACCAGATCTGACGGCGGCGAACCTGCGTCTTGCATCTATAGGTTTGTCAGTGACGAAGAACTACGCTCATCATAGGCACCACTAACCTTCTGCATTCTCTGCACAATGTACTCCCGATCCGCGGGAGTCGAGTCCGAATACGTGGGCTGCTCAAACTTGGCCACGATCTCCTTGACGATCACCTGTTGTTCCTGGTAGCGCTTGAGATCCTCCGCCGGTGTCTTGTCCTTATTCTTCTCCATCCATTCCGGGAACTTGTCATGAAGCTCCTTCATCGGCTCGTACAGGATTTCTTTATTCGTCAGCTGCTCCATCATGCCCATTAGCATCTTGGAGAAATCCTCTTCACCACCGGCGCCATCGAGACCTCCGCCTTCGCCCATCTGCTTCATTAGCTCAGCGAGAAAGTCATCCGAAGACGAGTCAGCTGCCGCCGCCGTCGCTGAATCACCCGAGGCCTGCATTCGCTCCATCGTTCGTCGGATTGTTTCCTGGAATGAGGCGTCCGCAGCTTGAGCATCCGCCGAAGCACCTGGTTGCGCAGGTCCAGACGAAGAGCCAGGTCGCGCTCCTTCACCTGTGGCATCCTGGGCGGTCGCGGCCGCCATCGACTTGAACATATCATCAAACTGAGTTTGCATCTCAGGCTGTGAGCACTTTAGCAAGACTTTCAGGCCACGCCGAGAATCGGGAAACTTGCGTTCTTCTCTAGCTCGCCTAGGAGATCAGACATGCCGGCCTGTAGCTGTTTCGCGAATTCTTCATCTCCAAACATGTCTTCTAGGGACTTGTCTGATGTGTCAGGGCCAGAGTTGCCCCTAGCACTCTCGGTCCCGGGCGGTGGCCCAGATGCCGGCCCAGAGGTGCTTTGTCCAGCAGGCTTTTTGGAGAATTCTTCGAGCATATCTGAATTTCGTGAGTCTCTGATCTCATATTGAACGAAAAAACTGGTGGCATACCATCCAGATCATCGAGGTCATCCTCGTCCGGATCAGGGACATCCTCCACAGGGGGCTCAGGCCTTTTGTCCTCAACTGCAGCAGCAGCAGCAGACTTTGCTTCCACATCAGGTGCCTTGACAGCACCGGTATCGCTCATCTTGCCGTGACAGCTAGTGTAAATATGATTTTTGATGCAGGTTGCCACGAGAGAGCATGTGAAGGTGGAAAAAGCGCTAGATGACGGTATGCGAAAGGTGTGAAAGGAGCGCGCAAGTTCCGGTGACTGAAAAATGAAGCGGCCAGCATAAACGAGTTATGAATGCAAGTTAATGATGAGGCCCTGTCATGAACGCGAGTGAGGTTCGTTGAAGGTGAACTTGGCCTGCGGAATTCGGTGTCTGGAACCGAAAGAAGCCGCAGCATATGAAAGCGCAAGCCGAGGTGAGAGAATGTGGTCCATATTGGTGCAGCACCTAGGTCTCAGTGCCACTCATCCAGCTTGGTGGGGGCGGGGCAGTGACCCCGCTCTCCCAGCACCTGACAGCTGGGACAACTGGTAAGGTGCTGGCAGTGTTCGAGAGGCTTCGCATCATAATGTACAAACACCTGGCGAATACTGCTGGCTGCTCGAGCCGCCCGGATATCTTGCGCAGGCACAGTCTCTGTCATTTTAAATGATTTGATTGCTGCTATTAGTATGCACCAATATACATTGTAGACGTTCTCTCGTGCAGATCCCGTTGCTGAGGTTGTCATCCGTTGGGTACAGACTCCTGCTTATCAAACCAGAGGCAGCTCTCGGCGATAAGAGCACTTTCTGCCGGAATTTTGATACCTAAATCAACACACCGCCTGCCGCTGCCATTTACCGTTGACTCTCACAGTTGCCGCCTTGCGACTGGCAAAGCGTACCACCCGCCATCAAAACTTCAGCTTTCAGATCTCTGATCGTTGAAGACTTGATTTGTCTTCTTCTCTCCTGACGCAACACTTGAGCGCCATTTCTCCCGAATCCGACGACCACGTACACTTGCGCCAGACCAGGCTGTCAAGGGATCCTGATCGCGAACCGCGTCAGACTTTTGCCGAGATAATCCCAGCAACTAGCACGAGATGGCGCTCTGCCAGAACAGACTCCAGGAGGAGAGGTATGTCTTTACAGGCTAGCTTTTTCACTTGACAGCTTGCTGACGCGTGTACAGAAAGGCGTGGCGGAAGGACCACCCCTTCGGCTTCTACGCAAGGCCAGCTCGCACACCTAATGGAACGCTTGATCTGAAGGTGTGGGACTGCGGTATCCCCGGAAAAGAGAAGACAATGTGGGAGAAGGGTCTATTCAAGCTGACCATAACGTTCCCTGATGGTGCGCTGTTTTCCCATGGGTGACTTGTTTGCCATCGATTATGCTGACCGTCGTCTCTATAGAGTACCCTACGAAACCGCCGAAGTGTAGGTCCCCTCAGTTACATAGCAGGTGCTTTCAGTGTTTCGTGCTTTGACTGACATGCTATGACAGGCAAGTTCGTTCCTCCGCTTTTCCATCCCAACGTCTACCCCTCCGGAACCGTTTGTTTATCGATTCTCAACGAGGAGGAGGCTTGGAAGCCCGCGATCACTGTGAAGCAGATCCTACTCGGTATCCAAGAGCTGCTGAATACTCCCAACCCGGAATCGCCAGCCCAGGCCGAGGCGTATAGTCTCTTCAAGAAGGATAAGAGCGAATACGAGAAGAGAATCCGGAGGGTTGTCAGGGAGAACCCAGCTCCCTGATCGGAGTCGTCTCTGGAGGGACCTGGAGTGACACTGGGGCGAAGACTACGAACGTTGATACGATCATCATGCCATAGGGAACGGAGTTGGAGGGAATATCAGGTTGGCTTTGCTTTACGTTGCTTGGGGCATCCAGAGATTACTGCTATAGGCCGGATCGGCAGCCTGAACGGCCAATACAGACGTTGCTGCCAGACTGGTCGACATTCTGATAATCAGCGTCGTGATGATAATAACGCAATATTCATTTACCTGTCGCCTCTCAGCGAGTAGAGATGTCATTCAATACAGGCTGCAAGAGCCAAGCGGTTAAAGATGTCTGTACACGCCTCCAACTCCATTGTGAACGAGCTTCGTCTTCTCCGCCAACTGTGAGCGTGCTATTTTATCGATGTCATAAGAGGGCGTCGAGTCATTCTCGCACCCTGATCTTCAGAATGCCAAGCCGAAGTAACCAGGGGTTTCTGTCGTCTTGAGGCGCCAGTCTGAACCGATGTCATATTCTTGGTCTTACCTTGACGAGCATGACGCACTGACCCGGGTCAGCGTTTTTATTGCTCTTGCTCAAATCTTTTTCAAACAGGATTTCTAGGTTGGATTCGCTTAGTGCAAGCCCAGGTACGATACAGGTAGACTACAACAACGAGGCCAAACCTCAGAGTGCCTGAAGACTGTTGGTCGAGTTCGTGTCTTAAAAATGGCGGACTGCTTCCGTGGACTGGTATCTGACCAAAAACTCTTCTCCGCATCATATTGGCTCAAGGCTGCAGGAAAGCTTCCACAAAATAAAGTCTCGGGATACGAATATTCAGGCATAACTCCGCAGTGAGAAACCAGAGATCGAGGTTCAGTCGCTGTCGTCCTCTGAATCCTCGAAAGGTACCCCAAGGGCCGCCTTCAACTCCTTCATCCATTGACGAACCGGCTTCTTTCCCTCTCGTAATTCTCTGTAGAACTTCTTCAGTGGCTCTGGAAGCAGTCCTGCATCCAAGTATCCATCGTCGTTCGTACATTTCCATGCATCCAATCATTGGTAGGGCAAATCCACCAATGCGTTGCCCCGCGTCCCGGGCGTACAGACGTAGAGAGGCTTCGAGCAGAATATGAGACTTTGGTACGATAATTGGGTCTTCCCCCGACTTGTAGAACCCGGAGCCCCGACCTGGTCGCCACGGCGGAAGGCTTTGCTGATCGGACGCAAGTATGTATGACGAATGGGGCTCGAGTAACGACGGAGACGGTAGAGACTCTCGAAGTGGTGGCATGAACCAAAGGGCGTCGGATTGCAGGTAAATCCCTACCGTGACATCAGAAGTCCTGATGTGAAAATGGAACGCTGGGGGTGGTGTCCTCCTGTCTTTGGAGCTTGTGTGGCAGACCACCGTGTTCTCACAATGCACCAGGTCGTCCGACCGAGCTAGAGTCTGCTCTGCGGTCTCTGCACTGTCGTTCGGAATGACAAAGTCAATTGACTGGTGATTTCAAGCCCAGGATCTGGAAATCCCATGTACATTCAGACATAATCACACTGACAATGGAGGGTACGCCGTGAACATTGAGAAGGCAGTGACCCCAGAGAACACAGGTTACCTGAGCCGAGAAGAGCGCTCGCGAAATGGAAGCTATGAAGGCTTCTGACACGTCTACCATGGTTGCCTTGATCTTGGGGTACGTTCGTCAAGTGCTCGTTGAAATTGTTGCGGGCGACCTTAAATGCCCATGGACGAGGTCAAGCCAACGTACCTCCTTTGATGACCCCGCGGCCAGCGGTCATGCTGGAAACCCTGCACTCCTGCCCGGCCAAGGATGCGGGCCCCAGTAACGTCCATCAAATCATCACCGTCCGACAGAGGTTTCTCGTCCTGTACAGTGCACCAGAGGCAAATGCTGCGAGAGTTATCAGTTGGAGTCATACAATTCATATCACAGCACTGGACTCAGGGATCCAGTCTACAAGCAGCGATGCTCGTATGCATCTGGGTTCCTGGTAGCCAGACTCCAATCGAACTCTAGGGTGGCCCTCGGCACAGGTGACACCGGCGGGCTGGTCCCTTATCATAGGCTGTTTTAGGTAATACGGAGCAGGTAGCGAGGGAAATTCAACGACGTGGCCAATGAATGCGCCGGCCGAGATCGGGGAGCTTCACCAACTAAACTCGGTTTGGGATGACTTTAGCGCCCCGTGGGCAATCGCGGGCAGTTATCAGTAGGCAGAAGAAGAAAAGGTGCCTGTTTGAGAGCCTTCACCGACCAGGTAGTCAGGTGAAGTGGGCAAGGCAAGACGAGGTCGAGCCTAGTGTAATTCTGGCATTGGCATTCACAATGGAGAACACAGTCGCAGAAAAACGGGCTGGTTCGGGGCGGCGACCATTGGAACGAGGAGGAAGAGTCATAACCACTCGCCCAAGCCCATCCCACCTTTTAGTCGCGCCTCGCCTCCTGGAAATAAAAAAGTTTGGGCCTACTGAGCCACCAGACACACACTTCTCCCCATCCCCCAACTCCTGCTTGATTCTTTACCAGAGATACCCTCGACCGTAGCTCTTCTTTTCCACACAGTCGCCATCATGTGCGGTATCTTTGCGTGCCACCGGTGAGTTTTTCCTTGCGCTCCAGCGCTGCACCGCGCGGCGGCGCATGTGCCGGCTGCGGAATCGAGGGGCAATCGAGGACCCCGCCATTCACAACCACCATAATCGAGCTGACTCTGACTCCCACCTCCAGTCACCCCGACGTTGAGAAATTCAAGCCCACAGCCTTGAAGCTTGCCAAGGCGTATGTGACCCTCCGTTATCCCCTTCTTGCGACGTTCAATTGACTCTTTTCCTCGCAGTGTCAGGCACCGTGGCCCCGATTGGAGTAAGATTTGGCTACTCAAGAGTGGAAATCCTCGAGCATCTTGACTGACCATGTGACAGGCGGAAGCATCATCGCCAACAACACGAGTAAGCTTATTGCCGAGCCCCGGCTGGAAAAATTGCTGACCATCGTAACCAGTCCTATGCCATGAGCGTCTCTGCATTGTCGGCGTCGGTGAGTCGACATTGGCGGCTTGCGCGCCGCAACTCTTCTCCATACATCCGTCCAAGGGCTAAACGTGAACAACAGAGTCTGGCGCCCAGCCCCTGACGAGCACCGACGAGAACATTGTCCTTGCTGTCAACGGCGAGATTTACAACCACCGCCTCATCCGAAAGCACCTCAAGCACTCATACCACTTCAAGACCACCTCGGACTGCGAGGTTATTATCCCGCTGGTGAGTCATGCGCACGCATCCATGCTCCCGCGGCGTCGGGATCAGACATGTCTAATCTGATTTGGAACAGTATATGGAGTATGGTCTCGACGCGCCGAAGCACCTCGACGGCATGTTCTCGTTTGTTCTCTACGACAAGGAGCAGAACCGAACAGTTGCCGCCCGTGACCCCATCGGCATCACCACCTTCTACCAGGGCTGGAACTCCGAGCAGCCCGAGACTGTTTACTTCGCCTCTGAGCTGAAGTCCCTGCACCCCGTCTGCGACAAGATCGAGGCCTTCCCTCCCGGACACATTTACGACTCCAAGACCGGCAAGACGACGAGATACTTTGAGCCCACCTGGTGGGATGGCGAGCGCGTTCCCGAGAAGCCTCTCGACCTCAAGCTCCTGCGCGAGACCCTCGAGAAGTCTGTTAGGAAACGACTCATGGCTGAGGTCCCGTATGGTGTTCTGCTGTCCGGTGGCCTCGACTCCAGTCTCGTGGCTTCGATTGCCCAGAGGGAGAACCTGCGCCTGCAGAAGCTGGCGCTGGAGGCCAGCAACAGGGCCGCCGCCAAGGCTGAGGCCGCCAAGTCTGAGAA